GAGCTCCCATTCACAGGAGTAGAAATGAGAAAAAATTCCAGCCCAGGGAGGAGGTTGAATGAAATGACCTCTAAAAGACTTTGTGGTCTTAAGACTTTTAGATTATTTGGACCCTTGAATCAGTGGCTCCATCCACACAGTGCACCCTGCCCTCCTTCCTTCTTCCCACAGAGTGTGCTCGGGTTTTCCACACGGGCGGCGCGAGGCTGGTGCTGTGCGGAAAGAACTGGGAGAGGCTAGAGAACCTGTATGACGCCTTGATCAGCGTGGCCGACCCCAGCAAGGTAAGGCCTTCGGTGGTCAGCTTGGGTAACTCAGGCACCCTTAGCCTTCATGGGTTGTTAAAGAGCAGCTCTTTGGTCAAATGGCTGAAATTTGGTGATTACTTTGGGGGTGTAAAGCAATGGCCTCGCTAATCTTGATACAGGCATGTCTGCCAGTCATAAGGGGTCAACTCATTTTGATCACTCGCCATGCCAAAATGTGTTCTCTAGCCACTGACTCCCCACCCCCATTCTGTTTAAGTCAGACCCAAAGAGGATCCAGAAGGTAGGGTATGTCACAGGTGTAATATCTCAAAAGATATTTTCTTCAAAAAAATTTGTGGGATGAAGTCCCCTTCTAAGAAGTCACCTGGGAGGTGAACACTTATTTCAATGCCACTGCGGTTTTCAAAGCATTTCCGGAGAGTTGTTTAGGAAATTGCCTACAGAGTTCTTGTCAGGATTTTTTTTTAAATCTTTGCCCTTGATGTTGAACTTGGTTTTTGGAAATAGCCAAAAATAATTCAGACCTAAGTGTGGTTTTTGAAAAGATGGAGCAAACAGGACAACACATCACTCTTCAAGGTGTGTTTCCTGGGATGTCATTAGGCCTTGAGCGAAAACAAAGTTCAGAGGTCAATGGTGGGAAAATACTGAGTAAGCCAAGCCGGTCTGGTTGATTACCTTACCACAGGACTTCTCAGAGTCTTTGATATGCTAATGTGCATTGTGTATCTCCTAAAAGAACACTTAATAGTCTATGTTTCCCAAACAAATTTGACTAGGAAACCCTCTTTTCAAGGATGTATCTCAGGACTATAGTTTATTAACACTGAGATTGCATTTACCACATGGTATCATCAGTTTTCCCATCCATACCCCTCTCAACAATGAGCCTTGATGGCAGCATGTGTGTAGGACTGACCATAATGCCTGGAACATAGATGGTACTTCAATCTTGTGGTAAGTGCATGATTTTGATCAAAAACAAAATGTGGGCCCTGGCTGGTGTGACTCAGTTGGCTGAGTGCCCTCCCTTGCACGGAGAGGTTGCCAGTTCAATTCCTGGTCAGGGTATATGCCTGGGTTGCGGGCTCGATCCCCAGTGGGGGGCATTTGGGAAGCAACCAATACATGTTTCTCTTTCATCAAAGTCTCTCTCCCTTCCTCTCTCTCTAAAATTAATTTAAAACTTTTTTTTAAAAATGTGTCTACAAAGCTAGATGTGGTTTCAGGAGCACAAATTGGCAATTACAAAGCAGTCACGGAGATGCAAACCACAGCATAAAAATATAGTCCAAAATATCGTAATAACTATGTGTGGCGTCAGGTGGGTACTAGACTTACGGGGGGATCGCTTTGTAAGTTATATGGTGTCTAGGCCCTATGCTGTACACCTGAAACTAATATAATACTGAATAGCAAGTGTAATTGAAAAATTAAAAGAAGAAATTTTTTTTAAAAGCTAGATGTGACTTGTAAGCCAGGAAGGCCTCCGCTGTGAAGGGCAACATTCACTTGGATTTGTCTGCTGTGGCCCCGTGGCTCAAAGTGCAGACTCACGACGGCATATTTGCATGTTTGGATTTTTATTGTCACTGCTGCTGCTCTGGTCCCCAAGGGTGCATTCCGCATCACCCTCCTTCCTCCCGTGGTCATTTCTGCTTTTCCCGCATCACTGTTTGGTCGTCATTTCATGTGCTCTGAATTTCCGAATTTAGAAAAGGTAGCTCTTCGGCCTGAAGAGGAAGGTGTCCCCGCTCGCGTCTTGACTCTCTCCCTGCCTCCGCAGACATTCACCCCAAAGCTGGTCCTCCTAGACCTGGCAGACATCAGCTGCGTGCAGGACGTGGCCAGAGAGGTGCTGGGCTGCTACGGCTGCGTGGACCTCCTCATACACAACGCCAGCGTGAAGGCGAAGGGGCCCGCCGATAAGATCTCCCTGGAGCTGGACAGGAAGATCATGGACGCCAATTACTTTGGGCCCATCACACTGACCAAAGGTCTCGTGAGTTTGCCCTTCCTCTGGGTTTCTGGGCCACCAGCTGCTGGAGAGGGCTCCTTTACGTAGACAGACGGTCATCCAATGCCAGAGGAGGTCTCCAGCAGCCCTCAGAAAAGTCCCTACTTATTTGGTGAAAGCGTCCAGCGTTCTGACTGTACATATTGATGGGTGGAAAGGGATTTTGGAAGTAGATTACTGGTATATCCCACCCCCCCACGAGGCCCGTTCCCCAAGCCCTTCCCTTTCCCCGCTCTTCTTATTTATATCCATGGCTCCCTCCGATCCCACTCCCTAGCTCTGCACCATTGTCTTCAGGTTTTGCATCCATTTTGACCCATCAGCCTTGCAGTGGGTCTGCTTCTAACCATGACAGTTTTTTAAGGGTAGAGCTTCTATCCTCAGTAACGAAGAGGAAAACCGTTTATCCCCACAGTACAGGACACCCAGAATACTCCCATCCCTTTGCAGCAGACAAGGAAGGCAGGAGTCCCTTTCAAGGGTAGTGCGGCAGCTCCTGCTTGGAGATTTTTCGCTGCCAAGTTCAAATGCGGGTCTGAAGCCCAGGAGGTTGGGGCTGGAGATGACATGGAACAGAACCAAGAGTTGAAGCCCCTCCCCCACAAGAAGTTTATCAAAGCAGGACCCCAAGAGGAAGAATAGAAGCCTGGGGGGTTTCTCCACCTAGGGAGTGGGGTCCCTGGCAGAGGCTCAGAAAGCGTGAGTGTAGAGCTTCCCTCCCTACAGCCCAGATCTCCCTGAGAATGGCTACCATGGCAGATAAGAAAAAGAATATTTCGGGCAGAAAGATCATCTCTCAGAGTTTCTAAATATATAGATTTTTAACTATATCTTTATTGATTTGAGAGAAAGGAAGGGAGAGAGGGAGAGAGATAGAAACATCAATGATGAGAGAGTCACTGATCGGCTGCCTCCTGAACGCCCTCGATGGGGATTGAGCCTGTAACCTGGGCATGTGCCCTGACTGGGAATCGAACCCCGATCACCTGGATCCTAGGTCGACACAAAACCACTGAGCCATGTGGGCCTCCCAGAGCTTCTGAAATGGTGCCCCAGAGATAAATAACAGTTTCCTTCAGCCCAGTCCCTGGGGACACGCCGAGCTGTGTCCTTCAGTTAACCTCTGAGGTTTCAGGGTTCGCTGACATCAAAGTGAGGATTGCAAAAGGTGGGGTGGAACCGGCCAGGACTGGCTTAGCTTCGAGGCCAGGCCTCTAAGGTGCTATCACCCGCATCTGCTCAGCGGTCTGGGTCTCAGTTTGCCCATCTCAAACTCAAACGGTCAGAAAGTTGCGTCTTTTGGGTTTTGCCATATTACTATTCCACCCGTACTATTATTTACTTCGGATTTTTCCTCTGAATTTTCTCAGTTTTAAATGAATGTTTTAGGAGGAAATCTTTATAATACCACCATAAATTAAAAACCCCCTTCTCTCTCCATAAATAGAAGAAAACCTGAAATCAAAACAAAGTAGCAAATTCTCCGCAGACACAGGGCCAAGGCCTTTCCTCTCTTTGTGAAAAGATTAGCAAGACAGTGTTAGGCACAGGAGAGCAACATGAGACTCCCTACCGGCCAGGAGAGGAGACTTGAGAAGGGGTTACCTTCCTCACTGTTGAGATCGTGTCGCTCAGGCGCGTGGGTGGGCCACGGAAAGCCGCCCAGCGATTCACAGGTTGAGCCCAGGCCACTCCTAGGAAAACGGGACAGATGATGGCTGGGTGTCCATTCCCTACTCATCCTGCAGCCAGGGGGACAGGAGTCTGCGGGGAGGTCCGCCTGCTGCTGCCTGACTTGGTCTCAGATTGGGAACCTTGACGCACTGTCCCTTGCTTTCCAGTCCTGCTGCCCAACATGATCTCCCGGAGGACGGGCCAGATCGTGTTAGTGAGTAACATCCAAGGGAAGCTTGGCATCCCATTCCGGACAGCTTGTAAGTCGCCAGGACAGAAATGTCCCGTCTTGTGTCATGTGTTTTACAGGATTAAGTGTGTTGTGTCAAGGACTAGGCATAGGTCACGTGGGACAGGACAGTGCAGAAATGAAATGGTTCGTTGGCTTTCCTCTCGTCCCTTCCATTCCTATTTTCGAGCACCTATGGCATGCAGGTGACGATAGGAGGCCCTGAGACATGACAGTAAGGTCCCTCTCCCCAGAAGTTCACATGGCACAGGCGGTCAGGCCATGCCCTGGCCGAGCGTGATCCACGCCGGATGAAGGCCATGCTCCGGATGTGGGTGCACAGCCCCAGCCCAATTGTCACTATAGATTTTACATTTCTCGTAAGTGGAATCATACAATATGAGGCCCTTTGAGACCAGCTTCTGTCAGTTGGCATGATGTTTCAAGGTTTGTGCTAGCATGTGTCAGAGCTTCATTCTTTTTTATGGCTGAATAATATTCCACTGTATGGACATACCACATTTTATTTATCCACTCATCAGCTGATGGATATTTGGGTTGTTTCGACTTTGGGGCCGTTATGAATGATGAATGCTGCCGTGAGCGTTCATGGACCAGGTTTTGTGTGGACGTATGTTCTCATTGCTCGCGTGGTAACTGTTTCACCGTCTAAAGCGCTGCCTGCCAGACCGTTTTCCAGAGCAGCTGCCCTATTTCCCAGCCTTCCTGGGGGGAGTGGGAACTCAAGCTTGGGCCAGGCATTTTAGAGATATGTTCCCATTGGATCTTCACAGCTTGGCAAGGGTGGTATCATCCCCATTTTAAAGATAAGAAAACTGAGCCTCAGAAAGTAGTGTCATTTGCCCGAGGCCACACAGCGGGCGCATGGTAAACTGGCTTCAACCCCAGCTCTGCCTCTGCGCACTCCTTCCCGGGGCTTCCCTGCCCCACCTACCCGTGCTCCGGGGCCTCTCCCGCTGGGCGCGGAGGAATGAACCGGCGCCCGGCGCTTGTCTCCACGCTCCTCCCGGGAAGCAGGGCCCGGCCCTGTGCCCACCGATGCTCTCTCTCCCAGACGCCGCCTCCAAGCACGCCGCGCTGGGCTTCTTCGACTGCCTCCGGGCCGAAGTGGAGGAATATGACGTTGTCGTCAGCACTGTGAGCCCCACCTTCATCCGGTCCTACAACGTTCACCCAGGCCAGGGAAGCTGGGAGGCCTCCATTTGTAAATGTGAGCTTTTCCAGGGGAGACATTTCACTGGGCAGGGGGGGCGTTCCTAAAGCATGACACCGGGAGTGGGGGATGCACCACCTAATGGCAGGGAGGGGGCCCCAAACCTTCAGTCTAGAGGCACCAGGTAGAGAGAACCCTAACCTGCAACCCACAGACCAGGGCCCAGCTGGGCTCAGCCACTCACAGGCTCTGTGACCTTGGCCATAAACAGCCTGTCTTCAGGCCTCAGGTGGAATAGCCAGGATTTGGTCTTTAAGAACGACCTGCTCCCCCTTTCCCTGGAAGAGTAGAGGCTGGGAGTGAGTTGGTGCCAGGCTGCCTGCATCTGACACTTGCCTCTGCCACATATTAAACATTTGAGCACAACCAATTCCTTTCATCTCCATGCCTCAGTTTCCCTTTTAAAAAATGAGGGGTGATGGTGCTATCCACCTCATGGAGTCACTGGGAGAACTGAAGGTTCTGGCTCCCAGAGGGTTTAGAACAGTACCCAGCACATAGTAGGTGTTCTGGAAACACACCTTATTGTTATTATGCTAGATTGTGCTAACCGGAGCTGCTGCGCTTTGTCCTGGGATCCATCTGCGTTAGGGAACCAAGGGGAACATGTGGGCACATGGTTGCGGGAGGTCTTGACAAGCACAGCTCCGCAGCAATGATCAGCAACGTCCCCAGAACCCATTCGACACCTTTGATTTTCTCGGCTCCCTCTACGGGTCATAACCACCCTGTGAAGTTAACAGGGCAGGAAGCTGCACCCTCTTTACAGATGGGGAAGTTGAGGTACAGAGGGGTCAAGTGTCTGCTCAGGGCCTCACGGTCAGTGGAAGGCAGAGGTGGCCCGTGACTCCTGTCTTTGGGCACCTGGAGGGGTCTGACCCGCTCGCTCCTGCTGAGGCTTGAACCCCTGCCCCCTCCCGGGGCTCTTCAGTCTTTTCCAGGAAGCTGACCTATGGGGTGCACCCCGTGGACGTGGCGGAGGAGGTGATGCGCACGGTGAGACGGAAGAAGCAGGAGGTGTTCATGGCTAACCCCATCCCCAAAGCCGCCGTGTACATCCGCACCTTCTTCCCAGAGTTCTTCTTTGCCGTGGTGGCCTGTGGGGTGAAGGAGAAGCTCAATGTCCCCGAGGAGGGTTGACCACTAGAGGGCAGTGGCTCAGCCTGATGGGAATAAAGGCTTTCCTGGCAGGGGCTGGTTCTCCTGTCCTCTCAGCACCGGGGGCCCCCGCACAGGCCACCTCCTAACCTGTCCTCCTGGTGGGATATGTCCACCATCCTGGCAAGGGTGGCCCGGGGGCCGCTGGGTGTCTCCATTCTACATTCCCAAGACACACTTCCAGAAGCTTCTCGACTCTGTAGGGTGACAACTGAGCAAAAAAACAGGAACCAAAATGGACCTAACACCACACACACACACACACACCATGGCCATCAGTCTGCTGAGGAACTCCCTCAGAAAACCACTTGCATTTTATTAAGGGCAACTTGCCTGCATCAGCCTCCAAAAACAAGCCTAAGGGCAGCCCTGCCAAGCAGACCTGTCTGCGTGATGTGTCAACAGAAGAAACGTTTAAACCTGTAGAGGATTTTTATGAGTTCATTTGGCAAAATCTCAACGGATTGAGAAAAGGCTCCAGAGAACGGCAGTTTTGCACCTTGTTTTATACATTAGAATCAGAGGAAGAGGCACAAGGGGTTCCATGAAATCCACTGGTGACAGGTTAGGGAGGTGGGAGAAAGCAAAGTGGGGACATCTCTGAGACTGGATCAGAAGTAAAATGATAGACACATATTCCTTTTACACTTGTGGATACAGGAGAGTTAGCCGTTAACAATTAACATGATAACAATAACAATGAGGGGTTTTGTGGTCTCTGCTCTGGTGTGGTGAGGGTCCGGAAAGAAAGAAATTACCCTGACATTCCAAAGACATGTCATCATAGATGCAAAGAGACAACAGACAGGCTCAGTTAAGGTAAAGATTGACCTTTGTCAGCCTAGGACATGACTACCCGCCGTGACTCGCTTTTAGTTAGAAAGTTGTTCAGTTTCAGGCCTTCCTATGGGGTTACTTTCAGTCTCTGAGTTTGCAAGGCCACCATGCAGGCCTCCCCCGAGCTTGTCAGTTTAGTGTGTGGCCCCCTTTTGGTCCACAGATGGAAATATTCTATCATCTGTGTTGTTCAGTGTGGCAGCTACTGGCCACATGTGGCTGTTGAGCACTTGAAATGTAGCCTGTGCAACTACGAAATTGAATTTTTAATTTTGTTTAATTTTAATTAACCTGAATTTTAATAGCCACATGTGGCCAGGAGCTCCCGGGCTGGCAGCGGAGCAGAGCTGTAATTTTCGGTCCTGGCAGCACATCTGAATGAGCCCCTTACCTAGATTTAATTGGTCGGCAGAGGGGCCCAGGCACGACTGTTTTTATAGAGCTTCTCAGTTGATTCTAAAGGGCAGCAAATGTTCAGAACTTCTGCCCGGGGGTATCCACCTAGCTCATTTGCTTACATTCTCAAAGCCAAACTCATTTAAAACTGCCATCCTTGTTATTGATGGGTGTTTCTCTTAGTTTTTCTTACACAAAAGTTAATGATTCTAGGGATCTTGGAAAGTGTGGAGGTACACTTCTTGCACTAATATTGTAACTGCTGATTCAAAGCCTTCTAATATTTATAGGTGAAAGAAGGCTCACATTTCCTCCCCGAGCCCATGCTATTTACAAAACTAACATACATACGGTACACAAATGCACACATATAGAGCTTAGTTTAGGAAGCAAGCACCTAGGATCACATCATTACCGTGAAACCCTGGATGAGGCTGGTGGTCAGGATGCGGCACCAGAATTCAGGAGAGTAAGCGAAGCAGCAGGCAGGACGGGCCTAGAGTCAACAAGGTACCCGGCTACCTTTTGAGAGGTTTTATTATTATTGGGGAGTAGGATGCTATAGGGGTGCTCAAACCAGGATCATTGGAGGGCAGGTGGGAGCTTAGGGTGGGGGGAACAACAGACTCAGGCGATGGGGTCCTGACCGGCTCCCTGTAGGGCTCTGCCTCCTCTTAGGTGAGTTTATTGGAGTGGGGCCAAGAGGCTGATCCTTTGGTGGAGGTGGGGGTGGCAGGCAGGGAGGGGCTGAGTCAGGGACACACCCACACTGGCACTGAGCTGCATTCTGGGAGCGCAAGAACTTGAATTTGGGAAAAGACCTCAGCCCCCTGGGGATTCACTGAAAGAACAGAGCATAGGACCTCCCTCGCCAGTGGGTCTGCTCCGCCCTTTCCCGGAGGCCCCACAGAGGGTGCCCTGCAGCCAAGGCGGCCAGAGACCTGCAGGTGGACCCAGCTTCAGGGCTGACTGAACCAAACGTCCTGAAGTTGAACTTCCTGTCCATGGACCTTGGTGTCCCTCTGACTGGATACCCTCATTGGCTTTCGGATGTCCCTGTGTCCACTCACACTCTGCTGCCCTCTCGGGAGTGGGTACCTCACCAGCCTAGTAAACGAACACACGCAGGAAAGCTTCAAACAGAGAAAAAAAAATATTTTTAATTAAGGGGGGAAAGTGTAATGCAACATGAGGAGTGGCCACCAGATGTCACCATGGCTCTAAACCTATTTTATAGCTACTTTCCACTAAAACACTGTAGAGGTTAGTAGTTATAATCCCACAAAATTATATGCAATTTGTAGTCTCCGATGAGCATTCCCCTTCAAGATTCCATTTTGTCTCCACATCCACTTTGATTCACTGGAAGGGCTGACAAATCCATTTCAGATGAGAAAACAGGGTGAGCGTGCTCTGCGATCCTCTAAGCCAACCTAAGGCAGCCTGAGGACGCGAGCCCCTGGGACACAGAAGGACTGGACTCCAGAGGCCAATGACTATCCCAGACCACAGAGCGGCACTGACAAGCTTGACACAGCCCTCACTACTCCACGTGGGTGACATAAATGTGGTTCTCTCTTTTTTTCTCCCAATATCTACAAAAATTTTTAAATTAGAAAAGTGGGAAAGCATAAAGAAACAGAGAAAACAAACACTTCCCCTGGCATGTACTGTTCATACATGGGCACTTCTCTGAAGGGCTCAGAATCTTTAGAGATGAGAGCATACCATTTGCAGCTTCAGGGGCCCCCCAAAGTATGGGTGTGGGAAGATGACACACGTAGAGACGCACTGCTGGAGACAGCCACGTCCTGTGTCCGTGTCCAGGAGAGCACCTGCCTGCCCCTGCAGGCCCTGTTACCTCCCCACCTGAGTTCCCCAGAAGGCCGGCCTTGAGGACTGCAGCAGAGGATGCTCTCACTAGGTTCAGCCATTGGTAGTTGGCTGGTGCAAAGAGAAAGAGGCAGGAGGACTTTGTCCCCAGTTCCCTCTACCAGGCTGCTGTAACCCGCCAATGAAGCCACAGCTCCTGTCTGGCAGCTGTGCCCTCGGGTTACACTCTGGAACTGCTTCTTCCCTCTGCCCATTCAGATGTCAGGGTGGTCCTGGCTCCTGGCTGTCGTTTGCCCTGGAAGCTGCATCACCTTGTTGGTTTCCCTTGACCTTGACTAGCCCCTTCCTTAAACTCTCCTGGATACCCCATGATATAGGCTGAATTGTGCCACCCATAAAAAGAAATATTGAAGTCTTAAACCCCAGTACCTTAGAAGTGTGACCTTATTTGGAAATAGGGTCATTGCAGATGTAACTAGTTAACATGAGGTCATACTGGGGAAGTAGGATGGAAGGCTAATTCAATGGGACTGGTGTCCTTATAAGAAGAAAGCCATGTGGAGACAGACACACAGGGAGAAGCCATGTGATAACCAAGGCAGAGAGATTGGAGTTATGCCTCTGCAAGCCAAAAAAATTTCAATGATTGCCAGCAAACAACCAAAACCCAGAGAGAGGCAAAGGATTTTCCTTTCAGGTTTCAGTGAGAGTAGGGCCCTGCTGACACCTTGATCTCAGACTTCCAGCCTCCGGTGCTGTGAGACAATACATTTCTGTTGTTTTACGTCACCCAGTCTGTGGCAATTTGTTACAGCAGCCACAGGAAACTAATACACCCCATTTGAGTGGATCTCTGTTTTCAGCCTGGATCTTAACCAACACAGCCAATACNCTCCGGTGCTGTGAGACAATACATTTCTGTTGTTTTACGTCACCCAGTCTCTGGCAATTTGTTACAGCAGCCACAGGAAACTAATACACCCCTTTTGAGTGGATCTCTGTTTTCAGCCTGGATCTTAACTGACACAGCCAATANAATACACCCCATTTGAGTGGATCTCTGTTTTCAGCCTGGATCTTAACCAACACAGCCAATACCCAGAAGAATTCCGAGACTCCCTTGGGGGAAGTCGAAAACCAGAGGAAACAACCAGTCTCTCCAGCAGACACAAGCATCCTTCTGGGGCATTGACTGAGCCCACAGTCACAGCTGGCTCTGTACATCCTCAGAGAATTAAGCAACTCCTCATCAAAGGGCCCTACATGTTCCAAAATTGCTTGTGGGAATTTCTGACACCAAAATAAGCCCTGATAAGGTAGAACTGTTATTTCCATAATATTCCAAACAGATCTGCTCAGTGACATGTCTTACTCCACATCAGCAGAGCATTTGGCTGGGAGGGCAGGGCTTACAGGAGGAAAGTTAGCTATGGATAGAGGGTCAGAACACTGGACCCTGGTGCCCTGAATGAGGAGGGTCCAATCAACATGGTGGGCTGGATCCACTGTAGGGGCACGGACCCAGGTCAATGGCCCAGCACCACCGACCAGAAAGATGAGGTCTGCCCAGCCAAGAAGGACCCCACCAGCTGTCAGCCTGCTGCCCCTCCCTTCCTGGAAGTAGGTGGGTTACATCGGCAGAGTGAATTGGTAGGTTGCTGGAGATACACCATGACCCAATCATGGGTCAAAGTGGACCGGGGGCCACCCTGGTTGTCCTAGGCCTCTTGCACTTGTTACCTTGCTTTCCCCTGTGGCTGACCATTTGAATCCTTAAGTCAAATGTTATGTCAGTTATAACTTTTGGGGTTACAAGTGGCAGAAACCCAACTCAAACATTTATTCACCCAAGCAGCTGGAAAGTTCTATTTCAGGCATAGTTAGATCCAGGCACCAAAAAGGTGATTCCAGCATAGTCTTCTTTTTTTTTTTTTAAATGATACTGTTTATTTGTGATTTTATGTTTAT